TAGCTGCACAAAACCCCCGAAGCTTGGGACAATACATTCTCCACATTGGAAGCAGACCCTTACCTTACAAAGAGTTTAAAGCTCAAATAATTAGCTGGGATCATGAGCAAACAAAAGTGAAAAAAAGTCAGACCATAGAATCTTTCTTTGGTAACAAAGAAGACCAAAACATACAACCAGAAAAAGACAACAAAATCAAAGCTCCTACATCCAAAGCCTCCAAGAAAAACATGAATTGGTCGCAGGACATGTACTCAAAAAGGATTTTGAGAATCAAGTAAAAGAAGTAGGGGAAAAACTGGGAAGAGAAATAAGAGTGATGCAAGAAAATCATGAAAAACTAGTAAACAGCTTGCTGAAGGAAACCCAAAAACATACTGAAGAAAATCCCAAATGGCAAAAGAGGTCCAAAAAGCCAATGAGGAGAAGAATGTCTAAAAAGCAGAATTGGCCAAATGGAAAAGTAAGTCCAAAAGCTCACTGAAGAAAATACTTCCTTAAAAGTTAGAATGGAGCAATTGGAAGCTAGTGACTTTATGAGAAATCAAGATATTGTAAAACAAAACCAAAAGAATGAAAAAATAGAAGAAAATGTGAAATATCTCATTGGAAAAACAACTGACCTGGAAAATAGATCCAGGAGAGAGAATTTAAAAATTATTGGACGATCTGAAAGCCATGACCAAAAAAAGAGCCTAGACATCATCTTTCAAGAAATTATCAAGGAAGACTGCCCTGATATTCTAGAACCAGAGGGTAAAATAGAAATGGAAAGAATCCACCAATCACCTCCTGAAAGAGCTCCCCGAAGGAAAACTCCTAGGAATATTGTAGCCAAATTCCAGAGTTCCCAGGTCAAGGAGAAAGTATTGCAAGCAGCCAGAAAGAAACAATTCAGGTATTGTGGAAACACAATCAGGATTTAGCAGCTTCTACATTAAAGGACCAAAGGGCTTAGAATATGATATTCTGGGGGGCAAAGGAGATAGGATTACAGCCAAGAATCACCTACCCAGCAAAAACTGAGTATAATCCTTCAGAGGAAAAAATGGACATTCAATGAAACAGAGGACTTTCAAGTATTCCTGATGAAAAGACCAAAGCTGAATAGAAAATTTGACTTTCAAATACAAGACTCAAGAAAAACATGGAGGTAAACAGGAAAGAGAAATCATAAGGGACTTATTAAGGTTGGGCTATTTACATTCCTGCATGGAAAGATGATATTTGTAAAGAGAACTTTGTCAGTATTAGGGTAGTTGGAGGGAAAAAATTATATGTATGTAGATAGATAGATAGACAGATAGATAGATAGATAGATAGATAGATAGATAGATAGATAGATAGATAGATAGATAGATAGATGGCACAGGGTGAGTTGAAGATGTATGGGTGATATCTGAAGAATAAAAGTAAGGGATAAGAGAGGATTATACTGGGAGAAGGAGAAAGGAAGAGGTAGAATGGGGTAAATTATTTCACATAAAACAGACAAGAAAGGCTTTTACAGTGCGGGGGAAGGGGGAAGGTGAGAAGGAATGAGCGAATCTTATTCTCATCAGATTTGGCTTGTAAAGGGGACAATATACACACTTAATTGGGTATGGAAATCTATCTTACCCTACAGGAAAGTAGGGGGGAAGGGGATAGAAGAGCAGGAGGATAATAGAGAGGAGGGCAGATTGGGGGAAGGGGTAATCAGAAGCAAACACTTCTAAGGAGGAACAGGGTCAAAAGAGAGAATAGAATAAATGGGGGCAGGATAGGATGAAGGGAAATATAGTTCATTTTTCACAACATGACCACTATGGAAGTGTTTTGCATGACTACACATGTATAAACTATATTGAGTCACTTGCCTTCTCAGTGAGGGTGGGTGGGGAGAGAGGAAGGGAGAAAATTTGGAACCCGAAGTTTTAAAAAAAAATGTTAGAAACTGTTTTCACATGCAACTGGGAAATAAGATATACAGGCAAGGGGTATCGAAATCTATCCTGCCCTACAGGAAAAATAGAAGGGGTAAGGATAAGAGAAGGAGGGGGAGAGATAGAAGGGAGGGCTGATTAGGAGAAGGGGTATTCAGAATGCATGCCATCTTGGGGTAGGGGTAGGGACAAGATGGAGAGAAAATTTGGAGCTCAAAATCTTGTGGAAGTGAATGTTGAAAACTAAAAATAAACAAAATAATAAAATTTAAAAAGAAAAAAAGAAAATACACAAAAGAGAGTGGAAGGGATTCAGAAGGGGACAAATTAAAGAAAAGTAATGTTGGAACTACCACGTTAAATTGGAATTATAAAAAAAAAAAAGCCAAGCTGTACTTAGTTCAAATCCTCTTTTTCTGTTCTTTTTAAAAGGAAAGATGTATGGTTTTTGATGTCTATCAAGTTTGGAATAATAAAAAGGAATTTTTTGAAGTAAGAATTACATAAATGTCTAAATGGATGAGAGAAGGAAGTCTGTGATTCCAGAAGCGAGGAAATGAAGCATAAAAGGGGTTGGAGAATCCTCAAAGAATCAATCTATTTTAATATCCTCCTAATTTATGCAACTGGAGAATATATGCTAGCACTTGAAAGTGCATCATCCTTTTGCTTAGGACCTTTTTCAAATTGTTCCCCAATCCAGGAGCCTTAAAATAGCAAATCACCTCAATTTAAGGATAGCTCCCTCTATGCCCAGGAGTAAAGCCACTGGGAGGCAACAAGAGAGGAGACTGCCTGGACCTCTCTGCTCCTCCCATTTCCCAGCTAATTGTCTTGAAATGACCATCTCCAGAGAGAAATTTCTAGAAGATATGCACCTTCACAGAACAGATCACACACACATGCACACACACACACACACAAAACCCTAATTTTAGCCTCACATAAATTTAATCTGCATGAAACCAACACCAATCTAATTCCAGCATGAGTTTACCTAACTTAGCATGATTGTATATGAAGAATTCAGAGATGGAATGTGAAAACTTACACAAATTGATGTCAAGAGAAGTTGGCAAAACCAGGAGAAAAAAAATCTAGGAAATGATTACATTATAGAGAACAAAGAAAAAGAAAGAAGGAAAACTAAACACTGTTTATGTAACAGTCCAATGAGGTCCCATTTCTCAGAGCATGAGCAGAGGGCTCTTGCCTGCTGCCAGCCCACATGGAGCTTACAGGTTGAGAGAGAGATCAGGGTCAGATAAGTAGATCCAAGAATGGTCAGCACATAAATGATAATTAAATTCATGAAAACTGATGAAATTACCAAGCAAAATAACATAGAGAAGAAAAGAAGGCCCAGGACAAAGCCTTAGGACGATGGTTAATGGGCAAAGTTAGCCATCTGAGGGACCTACACAGTCCTGCAGAGGTACTTGGGACTGCTATGGCACCTCACCCAGCTTGGCTGTGGCTACTCCCATGACTTCCCATCACTAGAATTCTGGTGGCTCCTCCAACCTTTCAAAGCACTTAGCACATTGCCTGACACATAGTAGGTGTTTAATAAATGTTTGTTTCCTTCCTCCTTCCCTGTATAGAACAAACTCTCAGAATCAATCATCACTTCCCCAGAATTGGGAGGGATCTGGAACTAGGGAAGCTATGAATCATTGGCCTCAGATGAAAACATCAACCCTAATCCTGTTTAGATTAGCCTTTCTTTCTGGGAAAATCTGACTTACCCTCTGGCTCCTTTCTCCATGCTAAATTAATCCCATAGACCTTGATAACTTCCACCCTAAGTCCTCCCTGGTGTAGGGATCAATCCCTGATACAGCTTTCAGGGCACATGGCAGCTCTGTAAAGAAGAAGCCTGAGTTGTCTCCATACTCTGCAATGGGGCACTGGTCTGATCAGAAAGCCACTTGTTAAAGGAGGCATAGGATTGAAGGAAGGAAAGAAAGATTGGTCATTAACTTTGATTTGGAGGCTCAGACGCTAGAGGGTAATTCTGAAAACTGAGATGTTAACTTGAGAAAGAAGGTCTTCCTTAGGTTACCAAGTTTGCCAAAGTGGAAGAATAAGTGGACAAAGGAGACAGAGGAAAAGACCTTTCTTTTCCATGGAGAATGTCTCCTTCATTAAAAGGACCACTTGCATAAACATTCCTCATCCTATATCTATGGTCTTCTAAAGTCCATTTGTCTAAGGGTACATGGAATAATGATGGAATAGCTAGGACTAGGTATGCTTAGATAGGAAGCTCACCTTGGCTGGTAATCTTGCACAGGGTTTGGGAGGAAGGCAGGGCAAGGGCAGAGTAGAGGTTGAAGTAGTGGAGAAGAGGGAAGGCTTGTGGGAAGGCTTGGGAGTAGGACACGGTAAGGCCCAAGGGATGGAAAACTGAAATACTAAACTAAAAATTACTGGAGAGGATGGAAATGAAGGGTCCAAGTGCAGGGGGTTGAGTTTAACATGAGCGACAATTAGGAAATCGTTATAGATTTGGGAGCGGGGGAAGATAGTGAGTCTACTACATTTATCTTCCTCTGCGACTTTGACTAGGCCAAAAGAATTGGATTCTTTCCCATCCCTAAAGACCTCCATAGATGGAAGTCCTGAAACTTCTCTAGGATACAATTTGTCTAGGATGCAATTTTCTGCTCCATCAGGAGGTAGCAAGAGGAGAAGGGACTCAAGACAGTATTTTCTTTTTCAAAGCTCTATCTTCCTTATGCCCAACCAAAGCTTCAAGTGAAGTCCATTTTTTCTTGTCCCATCCTGCATGAGAATGAAGAACAGTCTACCAGGGGTGGGGAATCTGTGGCTTCGAGGCCACATGTGGCCCCCTAGGTCCTCAAGTGCAACCCTTTGACTGAATCCAAATTTCACAGAACAAATCCCCTTAATAAAAGGATTTGTGCTGTAAAACTTGGACTCAGTCAAAAAGCCACACCCAAGAGCCCAGCTTTTCTAGCCAGACTCCAGTACCCTCCAGTTAAGGTCAAGTATAAGAATGTCATCACATACACAACATGAATTGCAAACGAAGTTTATTTTATAGACAAGGGTAGGGGCAGGGCAACATTTTAGACAGCAGATTCAGAAGGAGGAATTATGTACACAAGGAATGACTTTTTTTTCCTTTTTTGCTGCATGCAAGAAAATAGGAATTCTATAGTGTCCATCAGAAGGGGGCACTAGAAAAGTGGGAGCATGAAGGAAGCAGCCCCCCAAGCCATAAGAGAATTCCCCCTAAAGGAGAAGAGCTAGAAATAGCTCTGCCCTTTTTTGGAGGGGCTGCGGAGGCAAGAGCTTTCTAAAAATATGCTTGAGCATCTCTTTCCCCCTGAAATGAGGTTGGATGGGTACAGTTTGGGATGCTGTCAACAAGTGGATCAGAGAAAGGCTTGTTTTTACATTCTGGGTAGAGAGGCATTGGGGCATCAGCTTTATCTGAATGAGAATGACACACTAGAGTCACAGCTCTTTTCTCCTTCACCTGGACTGGAGGTGTAGCCTCCTCCAGGCCCTCTGGTAGAGCCACTGCCTCCACCTCCTGAGCCTGAGTCTCGACCCCCAGAACCGGAACCTCGACCTCCAGAGCCAAAGCTGGCCCCTCCTCCTCCACTGCCACATCCTGAGCTAGATCCCCTGCCTCCAGAACTGCTGCCTCCAGAGCCATATCCTCCTCCTCCTCCAGACCCAGATCCTCCTCCTCCTCCAGACCCAGATCCCCTGCCTCCAGAGCCATATCCTCCTCCTCCTCCAGATCCCCTGCTTCCAGAGCTGTATCCTCCTCCAGAACTGGACCCTCTGCCTCCAGAGCTGTATCCTCCTCCAGAACTGGACCCTCTGCCTCCAGAGCTGTACCTTCCTCCAGAACTGGGCCCCCTGCCTCCAAAACCATGTCCTCCTCCTCCTCCTCCTCCTCCTCCTCCGGAACCTCTGAAGCCAGCCTTGGATGCCACACTAGATGAGACAGTGCTGCTACTTATAGCTGTAGAAAGAAACCAAGTCACAGTAAGCATACTGATCCTGCCTCTGCACAGCCACTACTTCTAATAGAAGAAATCTCATAAAGAGGGGTCATCCCTCATTACTTACATATGGACACGTTACTGGGAACTTCTCCAGAGATTCTATCAGGGTAGAGGGGGGAAAAAGAAGTATTGTTATCAAATTGTATTTTTTTTTTGGTAACCACAGTCCCAAAACCCATTAGTAGGGACTATCTCTTCATTGGTGGAAAAGAATGCGCTGCCCTGAGTGAGGGGTGAGAAGCCAAAAGACCCCAGAGCGGTTCTTCAGCTCTCACCAACTTCATCCCATCATGCTCATGGGCTTTGGGACTGAGATTACATTTTTTTTTCTTTGAAATTCTATCTCAACAAACCATAAGTTCCCATAAGGGAACACTGCCCAATACCACTTGGACAATCCCATTTTCTTCAACAATGACAGTTATTTTTAAATGCTAGTACAATCTTGCAGTTGGAATGCTCTCTATCCCCACTCCCTGTTCCTTATTTTTAAATACTCTTCACTTCTTGTGATAATGGAGTGGAGGGGAGGGGGTGGCGTGGTTCTGGGTGGCCTAGCTAAAAATACTTGGCTTTCTAATTTTTTATTGGAAAAAATAAACAACTAATTTTGGATCCAATATTCTTAAAATTCAGTTAGATAGACAAAAAGTGAAGCTGCCCTGTAAAGCTTCATCCAATCTAGGAGGATCTAGAATGAGACTGTCAAGTTGCCTCCCTTCTGTCTCCTCTACCTGCCATTAACCCTAGCTGAAATCTTCCTTCTCTACGCCAGTGCCTCTTCACATTTCTATCTAAGGCATCAGCATAAGCAGAGCCACTATTCCATGACTCACACCTTTCTTTGAGAAAAAGAAAATGAAGCTTTCCCTTTTCTCTCCTTCTGCTGCCAAATTACAGACTTCTATTTAAGCAACTGTAAACTGTGTTTATGAAACTGTGAAAGGTGAAATTGTGTTTATTCCTTCAGGGGGTGGGATTGGAGATAAAATTCAAAACCTTGCCTACGGTGCACAGAGACCTTGGCCTTAGCAATTCTATTCTACTCAGACTTCCACAGTTTGGAAGGAATCTTATAACTGAGTAAACTCAGACCCAGAGAGGGGTCCCACACTTGTTCCGCAGCTAAGACTTAAGTCCTGGTCTCTTCATTCTGAGAGCAGTATTATCTGCTGCTTCCCCTTCCATTCTGACCCCCACCCTGACAATTACCCTGTTCTATTTAGTACAGATAAAACTTTAAGATGACATTTCCCCCTTCCCTGGTCCCTAGCTTTCTTCTGCTTTTCCTGGTCCCCAGAGTCCATCCCTCCCTGACATTCCTCTGGGAAGAAAGCAGGAGAGCCAGTGCCAACTTTGGACTTTTATCACTCTTCATCTCTAGCCATAAAATGTGAGTCATCTCCCCATCCCCTTACCTATCCTCCTCTCCCTCCAGCAGCTTCTTATAGGTGGTAATCTCCAAATCCAGGGCGATTTTAACGTTCATCAGCTCCTGGTAGTCCCGCAGCAAGCGGACCAGCTCCTCCTTGGTCTGCTGGAGAGCTTCCTCCAGCTCTTCCATCTTGTGCTTGGCATCTTTGAGAGCATGCTCCCCCCGTTGTTCTGCATCAGCGATGGAGTCTTGCAGGGCACGGCACTACAAAAGAAGGAGGGAGGGATTCTGGGTGGCATTGGGAAGCCATGGGAAAGGGCAGCCTACACGTCCCAAGGGAAAGCGCCAAGGTAAACAGGGAACAGAAAGGTTGGTGGACCGATTTAAGTCTTTGGGGGAATGCTGTTGTGATGGCTGCATTTCTGGATCAAGCTACACAAACTTTGATACAAAATGCTGGCTCTGTATCATCATCATCATCAATCGATCAAACTCTCTTGCACTTATAGATGTACCCAAAGGTCTTCACATCTGTGATCTCATTTGACCTTCATGACAACCCCATGAGATGATAGGTCCAACATTGTTACCCCCATTTTAAAGAAAAGAAAACTGAGAATGTTCAAGAACTGTCTTTTGCCTTTCTTTCTGTCCCTAATACTTAGGAAAGAAGGAAACAAGCATTTACCATGCACCTACTGTGTGCCAGGCACTGTGCTAAGTGCTTAACAAACATTATCTCATTTGACCCTCACCACAAACCTTGGAGGTAGGTGCTATCATTATCCCTATTTTGCAGTTGAGGAAATTGAGGCAGAGGTGAAATGACTAGCCCAGGGTGATACTAGTAAGTGTCTGAGGTCAGATGTGAACTCAGGTTTTCCTGATTCCAAGCCCGGAGACACACAGTCACCTAGACGCAGTGCTTGGCATATAATAAGTACTTAATAAATGTTTACCAACTGCCTAGATCATGGGGTTTAGAGATGAAAGACACACTTTAGAATCATCTGATCTTGCCCATTCATTTTGCTCAAAGAGAAAACCAGGACCCAAAAGCCTTAAGTGGCATGTCCTGGGTGACATAAGGAGCCAAGTGGATCATAGAGTCAAAGGCTGAAGGGCACTTTGAACATTTTTTATCCTGACCTCCCCACTCATTTTACAAATGAAGAAATTGAGACTCAGAAGGTTTCAGTTACTTGCCCAACACTAATAGCAGAGCCAGATTCGCTGACTATAAATCAAAGCTCTCTACTACATCACAGGTAGGAATAAGGCTGGGGACCAGACCTGTCATTTCATAGGTGTAGGGAACTCCCAGAGGAGAAAACACTTTCTGCCAAGGCAGTTCAGCATCTTCTCTGCAACTTACACTCTTACAGAATTTCCTACAACACTGAGAAGTTAAGTGACTTGCCCAGGGTCACACAGACAGCATTTGTCATAAGCAAAACTTGGACTTAAGTCATCCTGGCTCTGAGTTCAGTTCCGTGCTGCTGCCAAGTGCAGTGAGCCTTAGATCGTAGCCCCTTAGGAGGCAGACACTGGGTCTCTCTGGTGTACAACACAGCCCCCTATCAAGAAAAATGGTAATTCCAAGTATGGGATCATTTCATGCTCAGCTTAATTCCATCTACAAATAGTAGAATCCATCTACCCATTTCTCTCTGCCTCTTTTTTTCTCTGTCTCTCTCTTTCCCTCTTTCTCTTCTCTCTCTCTCTCCCCCCTCTGTCTTTATCTCTCCCTTTCTCTCTCTCTCTCTCTCTTCTCTCTCTCTCTCTCTCTCTTCTCTCTCCCCCCTCTGTCTTTATCTCTCCCTTTCTCCCTCTCTCCCCTCTCTGTCTTTATCTCTCTCTCTCTCTCTCTCTGCCCTCTCTGTCTTTATCTCTCTCTCTCTGTCTCTCTGTCTCTGTCTCTCTCTCTCCCGCCCCTGTCTTTATCTCTCCCTTTCTCTCTCTCTCCCCTCTCTGTCTTTATCTCTCTCTGTCTCTGTCTCTCTCTCTCTCTCTCTCTCTCTCTCTCTCTCTCTCTCTCTCTCTTCACACACACACACACACAAACACACACCCCTATTCACCACCTACAAAGACCCTTAGAACTCATCCAGTGCTCCATCCCAGCCAATCACTGAGACCAGCCAGAAAGGCGAACCAAACTGAAGCCCTGGCTCACCTGCTTTTTCACATGGGCAATTTCTCCCTGAAGCCTCTGGATCATGCGGTTCAGCTCACTGATCTCCATTTTGATTTCCTTCAGGCTTTCTCCATGTTTCCCTGCAGTGATCTGGAGCTCTTCGTACTGGTTTTGCAGAAGAGGAAGAAAAGGGGGAAGCGGGAAAGGGAGGAGGTTTGTTTGCAGTGAATTTTGTTTGTTGCCCATGACTGGGCCTAGGAAGTTATGGCTGAAGCCCTTCCCTGCACACTACTCTCTGCCCTCCTCTCAAGAGAGATCAACTCTAGGACATTGGAAGAAGTCAGTGGAAAGAAGCTTTCTAGCCTCTACTAGCCTATGTAGGCTAGGATGTCAGTATGTCATCTACATGTCTCCTAGGAATTTGGATAGCTGGTCTAGATTTGGGTCCTTCTGGGGAAGGGGACAGTGTAGTCATTGTGAATATCTACTTTAAGCAGTCAATTAATCATCACTTCTAATTGTCCATAAGCTCCTGTACATTTCCTGGCTCAAGTCCAAAATCTGTAGTAATGGGTTTGGTTAGGTTCTCACTTTGCTGTGATATAGGGCCTCAGCCTCTGTCTTGCTCCTCTGTGCAATATCTTCGTACTGGGATCGAACGTCATTGATGATGCTTTCCAGGTCCAAGCTACGATTGTTGTCCATGGACAGGATCACGTTGGTGTCGGTGATGCATTGTTGCATCTGGGACAGCTCCTGAATTAGGCAGAATACTGGTCATGACTCACATTCTTAGAAATATGGGAAAGTAAATGGAATCACAGGAAGAGGATGATTTGGGCAAGGTGGGACCACATCCAGACTTCTGTTTCACTCCCTTTCCACCCCCATTCTAGGGCTTTGCTTACTTATTCTTGTGCATCTGGCAGCATTAAGCTTCCCACTCAGCCCCAAGCACCATGCAACCATACTGATTACTTTTACCAGGAATAGCCAGAGTCCAGAAAGGCAGAAGCTAAGCTCATGGTAGATATCCCCTTCTAGGAGTCCTGTCTTTTGAGTCATATCACTAAGGAAAGCTTGTCTCAAATGCTTTGTTTAAATTTCAGATGGCTGAGGGAGCCAAGATGGTGTAATACATGCAGCAACCCAGCTGAACTCTCCCAACATTAACCTAATATACCTATTCTAAAATACCTCCTCAAATCAGATTTTGGAGTGGCAAAGCCAACAGAACATTGGAGTAAGACATTTTTCCAGCCTAAGACAATGTAGGAGGTCAACAGGAAAGGTCTATGACACCAGGTTGGGGGGCCAGCCTGGAGTGTGGCAGCAGCACAAGCAATGAGCCTTGGAGGCAACCATGATAGTGGTGGCATCTGCAGCAGGAGCTTTGGGAGCTCTCATCCCAGAGCCAGTAAGGAGGTTGGACAACTGATCAGAAAGAACACAGGGGACCCTTTGCTGGCACTGAGCGCAGCTGGCACTGACTGGCAACTCTATTGCCCATATGCACTTCTGGGTCACAGTTCCAGGGTGGAGAAGAGCACTGGTGGTTGGTGACAAGGGAGAAGGGGGGGGCAGCTAGGTGGCACAGTGGATAGAGCACTAGCCCTGAAGTCAGAAGGACCTGAGTTCAAATCCAGCCTCAGACCAAACACTTGACACTTACTAGCTGTGGGACCCTGGGCAAGTCACTTAACCCCAATTGCCTAAAAAAAAGGGGGGAGAAGGGGCCCTTGTTGCAGTTCCAAGGCAGACTGGAAAATCAGAGCTCATGGCTGTAGGACAGCAAGGGACCTGGTCACAGTGGCAGGGCTACTGTGCTTTCAGCTGCAGGGGACCAGGAGCCCTTCCTGGATAAAGACCTCTCACAGACCAAGAAAGCAGTGACCACATCTCCCCCAGGATCATACCACTTTGGAAGCACCAAAAAGTTGAAGACCCCTGGGGGCAGCGAGGTGGCACAGTGGATAGAGTACCGGCCCTGGATTCAGGAGGACCTGAGTTCAAATCCGGCCTCAGGCACATAACACTTACTAGCTGTGTGACCCTGGGCAAGTCACTTAGCCTAGCCCCCCAAAAAAATGCAGAAAAAGTTGAAGACCCCCAAGAACTAGTTCTGAAAATACAAGCATGAAAAACCCGGAAACTTGGAGTGGTACCTCCTCACCCCCAGGTCAGCAGAACCCAACTTTAACATAAAAATTCATCAAGAAATAGGCTGGGGAAATGAGCAAACAATAATAACAAAGAGCTTGGTTATATGTTTTACATAATTTTGTATGTATAATTGATACCATTTTACCTACCTTCTCAGTGAATGGAAGAGTGGGAGGGAGGGAGAAATTTTGGAACCCAATTTAAAAAGAAAAGAATGTTTTAAAAAAATAATAAATTTAAAAAACAAATGGGGAAAAAAATAAAACGAAATTTTTAAAAATTTTCATATTGTTGAATCTATGGGGAAGGCGGGACTGTTCTATTCTCCTGCTTGGACTGAGAGGTACTTTCTCCTTTAGAGGAGGTTGCAGGATAGTTACTGTCCTGTCACGCAGGCTACAAAAACTAGTCTCACCTCCTGGAAATCCTGCCCAATCGCCCCAATATCACAGGCTGTCAATTTGACGGTGAACTCTCTCCAAGTAGCTGGAAAGAGAGCTGCCGAGTCATCAGAGGGGAATGAGCACCAAGGGAAAAGATTTTTTTTAAATCATACCGTTTCATATAAGACCCGCAGGAAGTCAGCTTCTTCTCTTAACACATTCACCTGGCTCTCCAAGTCCACCTTTTTCACATAGGCATTGTCCACATCCTAAAACAGTGATCAAATTATAATAATGATGACAAATTATAATAATGATAGCTAAAGTTTAGATAGCCCTTTATGGTTTACAAAGTACTTTTCTCATATTATCTCACTTGATTCTCACAACAGTCCTCTGCAATAGGTGCCATTTTACAGATGAAGAAATTGAGGCTAAGAGATGTTAAGTTGCTTGCCCAAGGGTCACACAGCTACTAAAGGTCTGAAACAGGATTCAAACTGAGAACTTCCTAAACCCAAGTTCATCACTCTAACCAATACAACACTTTGATGCCTCGAAAAGTCTGTTGAAATGGCATTCTGTATGCTCCCGGAACCCAAATGCTTCAAAAAATCATGTGAATTTTCTCCTTCCCCAAGTAGCCACCTCAACACCTTTCCTCATAATACCCAAATTCCCTTAGTTTTCTCTTTGTAACCTTTACGGCCCCTTGAGGTGTTCTCTAAACCACCCCACCTGAAATACTTCCCTCTGAATTATTTCCCCGGTGAGCCTTGCCTAATTTGTGCATTCCTATGGCAAACACCCTATCCTTCCCCCACTCACCTTCTTAATTGTCACAAAGTCATTCTCACTGGAAGTGCGTTTGTTGATCTCGTCCTCATACCTGTTAGGAGCCAGAAAAAAGAGATCAGTACTGGCCTTGTAGCATCATAGAATTGAGACCAAGAAGGAGCTTTACAGATTATCTAATCTAATGTCCTCATTTTACAGATGAAATATCTGAAGCCCAGAGAGGCAAAGGGACTCTTGTTCAAGGTTCCACAAGCAGTAAGTAAGAGGATTTGAATCTAGGTTATTTAACTCCAGATCTGGTGCTCCTTCCACAATGCAAACTGCCTCTCCTGCCCTCTTCTTGGTAGACTCACCCCCAAAACATCCCATATTCCAAGATTATCAAGTAGAGTTTTAATTGAAGTTGGTATCTCAGTTAGGAATAACTTTCCTTTAAAATATAATAATAATATTAGTAGTAACTATAATGAGAACTATAAAAATAATATGATTAATAACTATATGAAAACACAACTTCTAAAACCTCTTAGTTTTAAATTTTTTTAATTTTTTTTTAATTTAAAACCTCTTAGTTTTAGAAGTGTTACCAAAGGAATAGTTTCAAGAAATTCAAAGAATATACTCCCCCTCCCAGAAACTCATTTGGGGAAGAATGCTTTCCTGGAGAATTTATTCTGTTTGGTTATTAATATTCATTACCCATTGGTGTTTCCCCAAACACGCACACACTTACTTCTTCCTAAAATCCTCAACAAGATCCTGCATGTTGTTCAATTCTGAATCTTGCTTTGTTTTCTCTGTTGTGAGAGTGTCTACCTTCTGCTTCAAGCTGCTGATGAACGTCTCAAATAAGGGCTCTAGGTTAGGTGAGCGGGTACTGACATCGATTTGTTGGAGCATCTCCCATTTGGTTGTCAACACCTGGTTCTGCTGCTCCAGGAAACGTACCTGCAATTCCCCAATCCCCAAGACTTAACCTTCATCATTCATAAAAGTCGTGAGCTCATCTTCCTCTTCACTAGGATTCAGACACCAGGAATAAGTTGATCCAGAGATAGGGATAAGCCTAGTCACAACCGGAACAGATGTCCCATTCTGCCAGCTAAAGAATATACTAATATCTTCCTTCCTCCTTGGAGCACTCCACTGCTTCTTCCCCAAACCTCTCTCTTCTTTCCCAACGCATCACCCTGGCCCTTCCCATCCCGAGAGATCCCCTCCTCTATTCCACCAAGCAGCCCCCAACATTCCAGAAGGGCCCCTCCCTAATCCTAGTAGAATTCCTGGCAAAGCCAACGAAAACCAAAAAACCAGAATTTACTGGCATTATGCCAAAGAGTGCTTAGTATGAGAGCACTGGAGGGCAGGGTTTCTCAAAGTTCTTAAGAGCCTTATAAAACGCAGCGTTTTAGTTACACCTGCTATGCAATGGGAGGAAAAAACTCTATAAAATTCCAAGGTGACATCAATAAAAAAGATGTTGTGGTTCACCAAGGCATGGAACCTGCTCTCAAAGGCAGAGTTTCAATTTACCAACAAGCCACTATTTCAGGCTAAGCTTGTCAGTTTCTTGGGGAGCTTACTCCCAAAAGAGGAGAGACTCACTCACAGAAGAACAGAAGACAGAGGGACCCTTCTGTTCCCATTGAAATGCAGTTCTAATGTGGCCTAAAATATTCAGCAGGTTACCAGACCACCCTCAGAGACTGATGAGGGTTTGGGTTGTTTTGTTTGTTTTCTAACAAATTTAAACACCAATGTTTATTCAGCTAGACTGAAATGAGAAAACCAGTCATAAAGTCTTTCAAGACCTGGCTAAAATTCCACCATCTGTAAGAAGCCTTTCTTGAACCCCTTTAAGGCTAGTATCTTCCTTCTATTATCTATCTCCAGTTTATCCTATATACATCTTCTATGTACATAGGTGTTTGCATATTGTCTCCCTTCATTAGATTATGAGCTCCATGAGAACAGAGACTGTCTTCAGCCATTTTTGTATCCCCCAGTGCTTGGTATAGTGCCCACCCTTGCACATAGTAAGTGCTAAATAAATGCTTAGTAGGATTATCACATTCCTTTGTCTCCTTTTGTGTCTTGCAGAGTATCCAATGCATCCTCTCTTCATTGGCAATCCCCAGATGAAATTAACCAGCAGTGGTTCTTTTTCACTAATCACGGACTGGAAGCAGTACCCACTGAGCCAAGAGGATCCCACCGTCTCCAGACTCACCTTGTCAATGAAAGTGGCAAATTTGTTGTTGAGTTTCTTGATCTGTTCCCGTTCCTCTGACTTGACATTCTGGAACTCTGGGTCAATTTTCACATTAAGAGGCTCCAGGAGGCTTTGGTTGACAGTAACTTCATGGATGCCACCCCCAGGGTATCCTCCAGGACCAAAGCCACCAGGGCCACCAAAACCACCACCTGGCCCAAAGCGGCCTCCTCCAAATCCGCCGCCTCCGCCAAATCCACCGCCACTGCCAAAGCCGCCTCCGCCAAAGCCGCCTCCGCCAAAGCTACTGCCTCCACCAAGACCGCCACCTCTGCCGGAGAAACCACTGCCTCTTCCGGCCACACTTATGGAGATGCTCCTGCTCCCTCCGAGCCCAATAAGACTCTGGCTGCTGGCACCTCCACCACCTCCACCATGGCGCATTAAGCAGGAGGAACTGCTGGCAGATCTTCGGCTCCCACTGACCACTGCAGAGCCTGAACTGAAGCCTCGGCCCCCTCCTTTTGAGCAGGACCCACCGAAACCTCGGCTTCCTCCTTTTAAGGAGCTCACACTGAAACTCCAGCTTCCTCCTCCTTCTCCTCCTCCCCCTCTTCCTCCTCCTCCACGAGACCTACAAGACAACTGGCGACTCATGATGACCGGCCAAACGAGGAAAAACACCTCAGACGCGTGAGGAGAGCTAAGACTGAAGACTCAACTCCACTGATGGACTAGTCTTCAGGGTCTGCTTATATACCTGAGGAAGAGGCGTCTGTACTCTTGGGTGTCACTATGCTTATGCATGGGTTTGGTTTGCCTGGAAGCTACGTGTGGTGAGTGATTACTGGGCTAATAGCCATTAAGAATCAACTAATCAGCTCGATCCCAAAACTTGCTTTGATTGCAAACTTCTCTTGCTTATCACGCAATTTGATTTTTGTGAAATCATCAGAAAAGGTAAATCGTGGGCTTCTCCCTACCTGGGATTGGGAGGAGAACCTTCTGCAGAATCCTGCCCTTAAATCCGGGTCTTTCTCATGACAGACTGGCTATCAGTCAGAATGGTGCAGGCTGGCTTCCTGGGTTTGAATAAAGAGAAAAAGTGATGGAAGGTTTGGGAGTCTAGGTGTACCCCCTATTGCTTGGCAATTGCATCTAATCCACTGCCACAGCTTCAATTATCATTTCTAGGTGAATCATTATTAAATCAGCATCTCTAGCCTCAATCCCTCCTGAGGTTCACCCCCATATTTTTAATTCCCCCTCCCTGGCTAGTTATCTCCAGAAGCTACCTAGATATCTCACCACCTTAATCTCAAAACCTGCAAAGCTGAACTCATCTCTCCAAAAATGTGCAGAACTGAACTCATCATCTCCACAACCTGCTCTTCTTTCTGATTACCTTGGTTTGGGGGGGAGGGGAGAAGGTTACTATTGACATCACCATCTCTTAGTTACCTAGGCTCAAAACACTGAAATCATCTTTGGTTTATCCTTTTCCTCGACCCTGTCCCCTGCCCTTTCATATACACACACAGTCAATCAACTGCTAACTCCTCTTGATTCTATCTCTGAAATATCTCTCATATTCATGCCCTCCTTTCCATTCCTATTACCCTCACCCTATTTCAGGCCTTTATTATCTTTTGCCAGGACTATTACAATAACCCCTTAACTGGTCTCCCAATCTCCAGTTCCTCCCAGCTCCAATCCATAATGCACACCAAAATTAGAATAATCTTGATTACATAACTCTAATTATGTCACTCCCTCATTCAGAAATATTCAAAAGTTTCTCATTGCATCCCAAAGAGAGTCTACATTCAGCCTAGCATTCAAGACCCTCTACAATCTGGGTGTGATCTACCTTTCTCTCTCACAACTTCCTATTTATGCAGCTGGGATCCTGCCAGATTGTACTGTTCCCCAAATTTACCCTGTGGTTGGGTTTGGTGAATTTGGTTCGGTTCGGTTTGGTTTTGTGGGGGGTTTTTGGTTTTTTGCCTCTGACTTTGCTCACACCACTTCTTATACCTGCAATGGACCATCCTCTAGCTGTCCCCAATCTCTGCGTGTTGAAATCCTACCTACCCTTTGAGGCCTTCCCTAACTCCCTTATGAAGGCTTTTGAAGTCTTCCCTAGCTCCCTCTGCCTAAAATATTCCTTTGAACTTCCATAAAATTTTGTTTCTACTACTCTATGTACTTTTCATATTCCAATTTTGTATCTTAGTTGTTTGTATGGCTATCTCATTTCTCCCAATTAGATTATAAGCATCATTAGAGCTGAGAACATTTCTTGTTTATATTCCTGTCTCCTTCAACACCTGGCATAATTAATGTTTTGCACGTAGCAGGAACTCAGGAAATGTTGCTTGCATTGATTGAATTATTGAATCAGTCTAAGTTAAACTGTTCTTATTCTCAGAGACTTTTGACTTATTCCTTCCTTGAAATGAAAGGTAAGTATTTTGGTTTATAAGTGTTTCCCTTCTAAGTTTCTGCTACTGACTCCAGGATGCTTGAGGGAATAAAAGTCAGGACAGGTGCTAGTAATGTCAAGAAAGTCAGTTGACAAAAACTATAATGAGCCTATTGGCCTTGGGCATTGAAAGTAGGCCCAGCCTGGAAGCTTTTACATTGTCCCAAGACTGTGGGCATCACCCTGGCCTAGGGAATATGCCTAGTACTTGATCCCAAAGTGGTGGAAATACTCTATAAGGCAAACACTACCTGGTTGACTAGACTGGATTCTATCCAACTTTTCTTTGCATGTAATCCTTTTCCAAGAGACTGTTTAAGCCACAACAGTACACTCCCCTTCCCCATCTCCCCCGACACTTAACAAAGGAGGACAAGTTTCTCATCTCCAGTAAAGTTCATAACGACATAGAACAGACTGGTGGTGCTGTCCGCTGCATACTCAAGATCCCCAAATGCCTGTTAAGACCTCTTAATTATCACTAATTGCCACAAGAGTTTGAAAGCAATTCCAGTGTAGATTATCAGGGGCCATCTTGAATCCTGGTTCCTTGTTCTCTCCATTAGCCTGGATTCATTTAATCAAAAGACATTAACATGGCGAGGAATGTATTAAGTGACAACTTCATCTCCTTGTGGGGCTAGATAAGATCACAACTCTTTCAGGTTCCTGGGCAGACACCATTTACTCAATGACTCCCTCTAGGGAGATGTTTTAAAAATCATCTTACTCAGCATCTGGACCCAGTCCCTGACCCAGTTCTAAATCACAACTCCATGCCTCCTCTGCTTGTTTTTCCCCCTAGAAAGCTGAAAAATAAATTACTTTGAAAGGTAAATTTAATTTTAAAAAATACAATTTGATACAGTATCAACACCATTAGAGGAGTTTTTTCCTCTGAACCCAATGTCCTGATGATCCCTGAAACTGTGTCCTACAGAAGCCTTCAATCCATCACTTGTTTTTAACATGGTGAATGAAGGAATCCACCTTGAAGCCCTCAGAGAGTAACATACATCTCACCAAAGATGAGTTCTTTGGCATCAGAAAGGTATGTACACTAAACGGCACGTGTTTTTACCCAAACCTGGCAAAGTTGTAACAAAAGGGTATGTAACAGAAAAGGATTGAACTCTAGAAAAGGCTTTTGAGTATAATGCAAATGTTTAAGGCACGAGGAGTCGGTCTCCAAAGAGATGAGTGAGGACAATCTTTGGATTAAAACTTTCTGTAAGAAACTTTTCATGGTCCTCCTTAAAGCCAGTGCCTCCCCTGTATTGATTATCTCCAGTTGATCTTGTACATATCTTGTCTGCACATAGCTGTTGGCAGGTTATCTTTGCCGTCCCTCCCCCATTAGGATGTGAGCTTCTTGAGGGCACTATTTTTGCCTTTTTAACCCCAACACTTTTAGCAGAGTGCCTGTCACATAGTGGGTGCTTTATAAAGGCTTCTTAATTTGACTTAAATTGTACTTTAACATTCAGGTTTATCACCTTTACGACATCTATGATCTTGGCCGAGTCAGATCCCTTCTCTGGATTTCACATTCCTCACAGATACAGAAAATCAGAGGGGAAGCGTACCCTGAAGTCCATTGGCTGTGGAACCTTCCATATCTACATGGTTTTCGTAGGTAGTCTATGGTCCTAGCTGGGGTAAAACAAAAATCTGATGTGGTGACATTTCAGATCTGACCTTCTTGGGAACCATGATTGCTCATTCAAACAGTTTCAGATCACAGAAGACAAAGCTGCCTACAGCTCATTTCTGACATCTTTCTTGTTTTGGTTTATTTCATAGGACTTCCTAGGCATTAGAGCAAGAACCAACCTTTGAGATCATCTTATCAGTTTCAGAACTCGAAGATATCTTGGAGGCTAACACTCAAATATTATATACAAAGACACTGAGGCCCAGAGAGGGAGACAACTTTCCTGGAGTCACACAGAGCTACAAAGCTAAGTGGTAAGTGGATAGAATGCTAGGCCTGGAGTCAGGAAGATCCAAGTTCAAATCCAGTCTCAGACACTTACTAACTATGTGATCTTGGGCAAGTCGCTTTCCTTCTGCCTGCCTCTGTTTCCTCATCTGTAAATGGGTATAATAATAACACCTACCTCACAGAGCTTTTATGAGGACCAAATGAGATAGTAACTGTAAAGCATTTAGCACAGCCCTGGCACATAGCAGATGCTTAATATATACTTGTTCCCTTCCTTTCCCTAGTAAGTGTCTTGGGCAGAATTCAAACCCAGGTCTTCCTGACACCAGTTCCAGTTATTTAACCCTGTTATTTTGTTTTGTTTTTTAGGCAATTGGGGTTAAGTGACTTGCCCGGGGTCACACAGCTAGTAAGTGTCAGGTCTGAGGCCAGATTTGAACTCCTGACTTCAGGGCTGGTGCTCTATCCACTGCGCCACCTAGCTGCCCCTAATCTCGTTATTTTTTACAGATGAGGAAACTGAAGCAAAGTGCACACAGTGACACAGCTAGTAAGGAACTAAATTAGGATTTGAACCTGGGTCCCCCATCGCTTTCCACTCTCGTCTGATAGACACACAATCTTCCTGTACCAAATCCTTACTTCAGTGTTTCCATCTCAAAGGTTATACTGGCAAAACTCCAGCAGGATCTACCTGACCTGAAACTCTGGAAATGCTTAGAGTCTGGCCCAGCAATGGACTGCAAATGTTTCGTTCAGGACTGTCCTGGCTCAGTCTGAAATAAGAGCAGCGGCTTTGCAAAGAATGATCCTAACTTTGAACCCAGCTCTGTTGGATGATTTGCCAAGAGAAAAAATTTCCCTGGATATCTCTATTAAAAAACTTGGGATCTCTGATCAGCCCTCCTACCCCCCCCCAATCTTTCTAAATTCTAAGAAAACTCACAGAATAACTGTGAATTAAATGTCGTTAGGTCTTGTTAGAGCAAATAATTTGATTATAAATGGATGGCGCAGTGGATAAAATGCTGGACCTGGAGATGGAGGCTCATCTTCCTGAATTCAAATCTGGCCTCAGGTGCTTACTAGCTGTGTGACCCTGGGCAAGTCACCTCACTTTGTTTACCTCAATCTCTTCATCTGTAAAATGAGCTGGAGAAGAAAATGGCAAACTGCACCAGTATCTTTGCCAAGAAAACCCCACAAAGCGTCAGACATGACTGACAA